CCTGCTGCAGTTGGAAAGTGGTGAAAGATCTTAAGGAATGACAGGCTCTAATTCCCAGCGCTCTGTACGTCAGTGTCAAACGCGACAGTGGGCGGAAAAAAAAAATGGAAATGATATTTTCTTAATCTCCATATTTGCTTTTGGCCTTATCTTGGTGAAAGGAAACATAACCATTATTTTGATCACGCAATATAAATCGTATTTCTATTCAGATTGTGAAAGAAATATTTTTACAACTAGAAATTCTAAAGCTTTGTTACTTTCTATTAGAAATGAAAGAATTCCCAATCCCTTATTTAAAAAAATAATTTACTTAGAGAGAGGGTAATATTTCCCTGCACTTCAACATATCTTAGTTACAATTATATAAAAATTTGTAAATAAAAGCCATTTGCAACGATCAGACGTATGTTATCATATAAGTCCGAGCACTACGGAAGTAACCATGGTTGTAACCAGGAACAAGGACTCATGACAAGCCAGTGCATATTTATAACAATAGAAAGCGCATTTGATGCGTAAGATACGGAGACACGGCCAGATGAAATGAACTCAACAGAAAACCGTTGTGCACGTCAAGAAAGAAATAAAAAAGTACTTTGCAAAATTTAACTTCAGCAGCGGACATCTCTTGACCCCATCCCGTCGTTGCGTCGCGGCGCAGTAGAACTTTGCCGCCGCAGCGGCGCATTTTTTTTGTATTGTAATAGCCTGTGATCATTTACTTAGTTAAAAGAAAAAACAGTTTTTGCACAACTAAATTACGTAAGGCTTAATTAAATGAAAAATAAAAATAATTGATACTGTAAAAGCTTCAATATACTTGGAAGGATATATGAAAGCGCATATAAGTTGAAAAGTTGATTATAAAAACAGTGATAAACTATGAAAGATAGGTGTATTTTCACTTCTTGAGTGGCTGAATGTTTCCAAGGCTGAAACGTCTGGCTTTGAGGGTGTCCTATGGCTGTAAGCCAATATCCTATGTCAATAGCCAATAGTCCTATGGCTGTAAACAATATTATTTCACCTGATTTATACTAATTGAAAGTATCTATAACTTATTTTTATCCATAATCCATTATCCCTGTGCGTACCACCGTGCGGCGCACCCCAGACACCGTTGCTCAAACAACGAGAACAACAATCACATGCATTATGTATGTATGCTAATGCGGCGCCGCGGCGTCCGCGGCAGACGGACCCGCGATGTGATGTGATGCGATGTGATATGAAGTGATCGCGGCGGTGACGTTAACGACGCCGCGTGGGGCGCGCGTGGGGGGCGCGCACGGCAGAGCACGGAAGCGGCCGCCGCCGCCGCCGCAGTGGGCCACATCACGCACCGGAAGCGGAAAAACTCACTTCCTGTGCGTTTAAAGGCAAGACTTTTAAACGGCAACAAATGTTTCGTGTTTGGTCACGCATTGAAATAAAATAAATGACCGTGAACGGATTTGATACAGGAAAAGGAAATCACAGGTTACAAGCCACGCACATGTCGCCGATGACGCATGAGCGACAATCTACTGCACCAATTTAATTGGATTTTAGAATATACGACAGATCAGTTTTAATTATTTTCTTCGTAATCTTACAGATTACACCACATTAACTTTAAATTATTTATGTTTTTAGAGTAATTAATATTTTAATGCTTTGTTTTGAGATAGAAAAAAGGAATTTTGTCACCAGATGTCGAAATATTTAAAATAAATAAATATTACGTAACATTAACCCCTGCCCCTGTGTAACACAGCGTAACTCAGCCTCGAGACCCCTCCCTCTTTCTAGCGTTACGCAATTTATGAACGACTCCTAATTCTGAAATATTGCTTATTTAAGCGTGCAGTGGCTAGACGCAAGCCTTGCGGAATCGAGCGGTCTCGCGGGTAGTAGAAATACCGCCTTGGCGACCGCGCGATAGCGCATGCGTTCACAAAATCGCGCGAGCGCCCGAAGGTTAAACAATAAATGGAAATATTTGTAATCGACGTTTCATTCTATCTGTAAGATTATGAAGAAAATATTACAAACTGGTGTGTAGTATGTTGTAGAATCCGTTTAAATTCGCGCAGAAGACTCTTGCCTATGCGTCAACCACGACGACGTGTGAACGGCTTGAGATGAAGTTTTCTCCCCTATCCTTCACCCAAAACTTGTCCCCAATTTTATTGTTATGTGCAGTCAGTATCGCCAACTAATTCTATCTTCAATTATCATTCATTTTAATTTACACCCCAAATAAAACGAATCCATCTTGATATAATGCGCTATAATTTATTTTCACAACTTGTATTTACAAGAAGGGGGCGATGTCAGAAGCGTTACGAAATTATTTAGGGGGGGGGGGGGGCGAGTTCAAGCGGGCGATACGAGTGCTTAACAGGGGGAAGAGGGGGTATTCAAAATTCTGCAAATTCGCGTTTCGTAATTTATGGGTGGCCCCTTCCCTCTTCGGCGGAATCGCTCGTCGAATCGCGTGGGCGTGGGGGGCGGCGGGTAGAGCAGAGGGTGACGGAGTCGTGCAGCCGGGGCCGTTCACGTGGGCGGCGGACACGCCAAGCCTTCACTTCACTACGAGCGAAGGCCGCGGACGAGACCGCAAGCGACCTCCAGCCCCACAACTGCAACGAGCGTTTATGATGTGAAACGAATGGAGGGTGAAAGAGCAGAAAGAAAATGTATTTTTTCGTTCTCTTTCGAATATTGTAAATTATTATCTTCTTATCCTGTTAATTACTACATTATTCATTACCAATTTCTATGTTTGTATGATTTAGAATAATATTAATAAGTAAATAAACATAATTTTAACTAGTAGAAATTATTTTACAGTTGCACAAATAATTAATTTTTCAGTACAGGTGAATGGAACTTAGATTTTCTATTTTTAAATTATTTATTTTGGGTTGCTTTATAAACAGTTACGGTCGCTTTATAAACAGTTGGTAGTGGTCAGCGACTACGATTAATTTAGATCAGAGATACATTTTATAAATTGTAACACACATACTATTATATTTAACAATTTTTACAATAATTCAGATCATTTTATCAAGATCAGCAATATTAAGATGGTTTAAAACTGATTTGTAACCTTCAATTGAATTAATTATTTCATTTATATCTTGCTAGATGCCAAGAGAGTTTCTTAGATTTTCTTTGTTTTTGATTCTTTGAATTATAACATCTAATTTTTGGCCTCCATATGGCCAAAATTTGCTCCTGACTTGCAAATATTTCCAAAACGACCCACATACTTTGCACCTACTTTTATGAAAAATAGTTTTTCTTCATTAATACATTACACATTGATTACGTATCTGTTGTTTTTCTTTGTTATTTAAGGTCGCATCAACATCTAGGTACACAATAGTGACCAATATGGGGTTTAATGTTATGGGTAACTATATTCAGGGACGGATCCACCAATCATTAGGAGCGGGACTTCATAGATTTTCGTTAAATAGTAAACATTTGTTATTATATTTATATTTTTGTAGTGTGTATATAATATTACCCAATATTATTTATTAAATAATTTTAACATAAAGAAATATTTATGTCAATTTTTCGAAATAAAAGAAGGTAACAAACGAAAACTCTAGGTCTTCTTTGGGGGGTGGGGGACATGCCCCCGTCTGGATACGACACTGACTGTGAACTACATGAAATGATATGGTGGTGATGGGGGTTGAA